GTAGTGAGTGTAACACGGTCTAAACCAGATGCTTGTATCGCAGCAATTTCAGTTTGGGTCACTGCCCGCCCTTTGGAGATGGAGACCCCTTCAAGAGATGTGGGAAGCATGTGACGCTGCTTTATGTCTGTGGAGATGGGTTTTTCTGGCTGTCCTTGGCCTGTGAGGGAGCATGTCTGTTTCCCTCCTGATCTGTGTTTCATCGTAAGCACCTCTTCTTTGCTCTCTGCCATTCCCTTTGTGCCTGCCAGGAGCGTGAGTCCCTCAACGCCAACATTGTGGATGCCATCAACCAGGCTTCAGACTGCTGGGGCATCCGGTGCCTGCGCTACGAGATCAAGGACATCCATGTACCCCCACGTGTGAAGGAATCTATGCAGATGCAGGTTTGGCTTTCTGGGAGGGTGGTCTGGAACAAGAGGGAAAACTCTCTTTTTCTTGCCCCATGGGTGGGATTTCCCCAGCATGGCCATGGTGTCTGACCTGTGTTCACAGGTGGAGGCAGAGCGACGCAAGCGGGCGACAGTGCTGGAGTCGGAGGGGACACGGGAATCAGCTATCAACGTGGCTGAGGGGCAGAAGCAGGCCCAGATCCTGGCGTCAGAAGCTGAGAAAGCTGAACAGATCAACAAAGCTGCTGGTAGTGCACCTGGGCTAGGATGTGGGGGTCCATAGCCATCTGCACTGAGGGGTGATGGTCCTGGGAAGAGACCGCGTCAGTGTCTTGCGTGCCAGGCTTCCTCAGCCACGCTGATCCTTCCCTGCTGGGGCCCTCAATCTGGGTGTGTGGCTGCCCCGCAGCCTGGGGCAGCAAGAGGTGTGTGGCAGGAGCACAGCCACGCTGCTGTTGGGGAAGAGGAGGCTTTTGCATGCGTGAAGTTGCCTTGATTTTCTCCTTGCAAGCACTTTGTGGCAGTTCTGACATGCGTTCTACTGTGGTTCATTGCAGGAGAAGCCAACGCCATGCTGGTCAAGGCCAGGGCCAAGGCAGAGGCTATTCAACTACTGGCAGCTGCTCTGGCACAGCAGGTGAGTGATGGCTCCCTGGGGCAGCCACTGCTTTGGTGTGGGCAGGTTGAACCACAGCTGGGGTTGAACCACTTTGCTTTCTCTTGGGCACTTCAGCAGCGGCGAGCAAGGGATTTGCTGTCCTGGGGACCGTGACCAGACAGGGATGGGGGTCCAGGTGATCCCTTGGTGGTACATGACACAGTGCTGAGCCCTGTCCCTGTCTCCACAGCATGGCAGTGCCGCCGCCTCTCTCTCAGTGGCAGAGCAATATGTGAATGCCTTCTCCAAGCTTGCAAAAGACTCCAACACCCTCCTGCTGCCCTCCAACACTGGCGATGTCACCAACATGGTCGCACAGGTTAGTGTGATTGGAGGGACCCTGTCTCTTGCCGGCTGGGGTGTGAAGGTGACAGCCCAGTGGGGTCTGGTCCCCTCCTCTGTTCTTCTCCATGGTGCTCTCATTCCCTCCAGGCCCTGGCCATCTACACCACGTTGACCAAGCCACAAGCTGTGAAGACCCAGGATGAGGCACCTCCACCCTGTGAGGAGCCCCAGCCTCCCATCACCGAGGTGCTCAAGGCAGAGCAAGCTGGCTCCAGCTAGCAGGGCCAGCAGCATCTCTCACCCTCACTCGGGACCTGCTGGGCTACGGCAGTCCTGTCCTGCTGTCTTCCCTAGTCAGGTGCTCTTCTTTTTCCCTCGGTCCTTATTTTGTATTTGGATTTCAATCATGGAATAAATGGTACTGCAATTGGTCCCCAGGAGCGTGACCCCACCATCTGTCAATGAAGGGGGGCTGTCCCTCCCAAACAGGCTCCTAACAGGAGCTTGCACAGACACACGATGATATACAGGAGGAGCCAGGCACCCTTCTCCCAAGGTAGGGAGGCCTGATCCAGAATGGGCTGGATTGGAGAGGACCTTAAAGCTCATCCAGTTCCAACCCCCTGCCACAGCCAGGGTCACCTTCTGCTAGAGCACACTGCTCCAAGCCCTGCCCAACCTGACCTTGA